TCTAATCAAGCTTATATTTGATTATTGGACTATTTACATCTATACATATTCTCAATAAGTCTGTCTTTAAAAGACTCTAAGTTATATAAAAGTATGAAAAAAAAGTATGATTAATTAATCCGTCAATCTTCCTGCCAATCTCCCCAAATACTATTTTCTCATGTGACTGAATTCACTAACCCCCATTTCCAATAGCTAAAACAGAAGTGTCACCATATTAATTAAAAGAAACACTGTGATCATTGCCCCTCTTCAGTTTGGGCCCCTCTGCTTGCAACTACCTCCCCCTGACTGGAGCTGATCAACAGGTCTACCAACACAAATAGACAAAGCCTATTAGATCCTGCTTAGAAACAGAATTGGTGACTATCTAAATACAGTATGATTCCAAGTTCTAGTCCTTAGTAAATTTAACTGTGCTCTTTCTCTCACTAGAGGATATTTTTATAATCTTGGGATGGGGACTGGAGTGGTATTCTAAGTGTAACACCAAGGTTGGACATCACAAAAGGAAAGATTGACAGATCTGACTCCATGAAAATTTAAACCTTCTGTGCTAAAAAAGAAACCATAAAAAATTTTTAAATGACAAACTAAAAACAACAACAACAAAGAGGCAACATGTTTCATCCAAAATTTGCTCTTAAAAACTCAAGAAAATTGGCCTGGCCCAGCGCATAATGGTTAAGTTCACACCCTCCACTTTGGTGGCCCAGAGTACATGGGTTCAAATCCTGGGCACAGAACTACACACCGCTCATCAAGCCATGCTGTGGTGGCATCCCACATACAAAATAGAGGAAGATTGGCACAGATGTTAGCTCAGGGACAATCTTCCTCAAAGCAAAAAGAGGAAGATTAGCAACAGATGTTAGCTCAGGGCCAATCTTCCTCACCAAAAAAAAAAAAAGAAAACCTCAAGAAAATTGGGCAAAGGACATGAATAGGTAATCACAAAGGAAGAAATACAAATAACCAAATGACATATGGAAAGATGCACAATTTCTGTAAAAGTCACAGGAACAAGAATTAGAAGAGTGAGATATCTGTTTCGCCTCTTAGGTGAGGAAAATGGAAAACGCTGATTACCTCTAGCATAAGTGAGTGAAGAATCTAGAACATGCACTATTGGTTGCAGAACAAATTGTTTCAAGAATTTTGGAGGGCAGACAATATGCACCCAGATGCAAAGTATGCATTCTCCCTAACACATCGATTTCATTTAGGAATTTATTCTACTGAAACACCACCATTACCCACAGATATATTACAAGAATGTTCAATACAGCATTGTGTTTATTATCCAAAAGTTGTAAATAATCTAAATGTACTTAAATGGGATATTGATTAATTCAATCCTTATATGTATCAGATGGGAAGATATCCATATCTTATGCAAAAAAAACCAGAAAAATAGATATAACATTATTCTATTTATGATACATCAAATTTAAAATGCACACTTTTTTCACATTTCTAAAACTAAAATCATCTTACAATTGGCAATAGCTTACACTGAATGAAATATATGTTTATTAATGAATTTAATAATCTGGAAGTATCTATTTCAAACTAATATTCAAGGTTACCTGTAGAGAATGGCTTACTAGAGGCTTTTATTTTCTGCTCTGTTGTTGTTTCCATTTTTTATAATCAGCTATATTTTAAAATTTATTCTCTGAAAACAATAAAATTATTCGCATTTAGCTGTTCTAAAATGTTTTTAAACCACAGGAAGAAAATAATACAGAAAAGTTCATCAACACCCCAATAATCATTCTCTTGTTTTTTGGAAAAAGTTATTTTGACCCATAATGGATGCCAAAAAACAGGGTTTGGGTTTTTGGGTTTTTTTTTTTTTTTAAGGCATTTGACCAACCTTATGCGTGCACATTCTTAGGAACCTCAGTGACATGAATTCCTAATTTGGCTAAAAAGTGGACTTTGTCATATTTTCTTTCATCTACAAAAAATACTCTAAAGAATAACTCCTTTCAAAAAAGACTGCATACTAACAGTTAAAAAATACTACAGACTAAATAGCATTTTAAGTATTTAGAAACTAAATACATCACATTAAAGGGTTCAAACTGAGTCAAACATTACTCTTCATAGAGGACAAGACCATGTATATGTGCATTGAAAATAAATAACTACCTCTTACAAAGCAATCTTCAGTAGAATTTTTCATCTAGTAATGAAATGAATTTACTAAAAAGGAAAGTGGGAGTATAAACCTAGAGTTTAAAATGTAATTTTTTTTATAAAACCATAAAACATGGTAGATTATCTTTTATTATAGAGGAGTGAAAGACTGATGTAAATGCCAGAAATTGTAAAGGAAAAAAAGATATATTTGACTACATAAAAATTGAAATTTTCTATACAGCATAAAAGATCATAAAGTTTAAAAATAAAAAAATCAAGAAAAAATTGCAACATATATACCAGAGTCCTTAGTACTATACAAAGAACTCTTATAAATAAGAAAAAATATAAGCACTCCAATAGAAAAATAAGGCGGGAAACTCACAAAACAAGAAATAAATATTTCATAAAAGAAAAGATGTTATTTTTTGCCTATCCAATTGGAAAATACTTTTAAAAGACTAAGAAAATCTAATAACATAATTTTGGTAACAGTGTGGGGGCACTAACATTCTAAGGCAGTGTTTATAGTGGTATATATTGGTACACACATTTTCTGTAGCACAATCTGGAAACAGTGTTCTTCCAAAAAATATTTCTTGAATACCTATATATCTGGCACTGTTGTAGATGGTGAGAACATAGTAAAGAATAAAACAGACAAGAGAGAAGACAGGAAATAATTCAACAAATAAATGAACAAATGAATGTATCAAAAAATAAAATGTACCTACCCATTGGACCATTAATTTCACTTCTAGGAATTTGTTCTAAGAATATAATCAAACAAGTGCACAAACATTTGTTCAAAGATGTTATTATTTGCAGAATTGTCTATAATAGCAAAATACTGGAAATACACAAATGTTCATGATTATGAGATTGTTTAAATAATTATGTTTCACCCGCATAGTATAATATTATGCAACGCTTAATAATGATGACCTAGTTTTATACATATTGGTTTGAAAGACATTAATGATAAATTATATAGTGAAAATGCAAGCAACAGAATAGTGGCCCATTTAAAATGCATGTGTGTTCATCTAAAAGAAAATATGTTTACAATGGTTTTCTCTGGTTTTATGCATTTCTCTATTACCTAAATTTCTTACAACGAGCAGACATTTTATGAGAGAAAAACCATAAATACAAACATTTTGAAAAAATACATATAACCTTTAAGGAGTTCCTATACCACCAGTATATTTGAAATTGCCAAAATTATGATACATCTTAGTCATATTTTCTTCACATTATAACTTTCCATAGGATTATTATGTAGAGAGTGTTCTGTATTAATTTTTTTTTTGGGGGGGGGGCGAGGAAGATTGGCCCTGAGCCAACATCTGTTGCCAATCTTCCTCTTTTTGCTCGAGGAAGATTGACCCTGAGATAACATTTGTCTGTGCCAATCTTCCTCTATTTTTCTGTATGTGGGTCGCTGCCACAGCATGGCTGATGAGTGGTGTAGGTCCACACCCAGGATCCAAACCTGCCAACCGTGCTGCAGACGCAGAGTGCACCGAACCCCACTACACCACTGGGCTGGCCCCTCTATTAAATTTTTCATTAATTCTTTTTCTTTAAACTTCCTTTAGGAACATCTTTTTTTGTATCAATACCAATTTTACATCTTTCTAGACTATCTTTGTTCTGGAATTAAAATATGTATAAATAGCTAATTGCTCAGCAAAATATCAAACACTTTAATCCACAGGCTCTGTGACTTTGGAACAGATGATTATGAAAATTAATTGTTCTGCAGAGTTCAGAAACACTACAGGTGTCATAAAATAAAGATGGATTACAAAAAAGCTCTGGAAAAACGTGTGACTTGTGGCGTGTGATGGTGTTTGTTGAAAACGGATGTGTATTTACATGTGCGTTACATTTGTGTACATATACACACATGTATCCTACATATGCATGAGTGAGAGTTCATGTTTATGCTCATCGTGTGTACCTGCATAGGTAATCAAAGCTGACATGCATATGCTTTATCTCCACCCCCAAGGCGAGCCACATTTGCCCTCATGTTATCTTCAGGAAACTGGCATCAACCCATCTGCAAAGGGTTTCAGTGTGGGCCAGCTCCACTCTGGCCACCTGCCTTGGAGATGGGCTATTTCTAGCAAAGGTGCAGAGTAGAAAGGCAAGGCGGGCGGCGACCCAGGAAGTAAGCCGAAGAACGCGCCTGAGGCACTTCAGCACCAAGGACACGGGCAACCCCAATCCAAGTCTTTTCGGGCGGATCTGCCAGCGGAGATCGCCCCTCCCCAGCCGCCCCCAGCACTCTCCGCCCAGTGCGTCAGTAATTCGGGGCCCTCAACCGTCGCTCGGACGCTGGCTTTCCTCTCGCTCCTCGCCAAGCCCGGCAAAAGCCGGGATGGAGATGCAGGTCCGCGCAGCGCCCACACTCACCCTAACCCGAGCCTCCTTCCTGCTGGCCCGCGCGACCCTTCCATCCTCTCGTCATCTCAAAAGAGGCCAAGCGAGCGCACGTGGCGCAGAAATCCTACAGCGCCCAGAGCCGGTCTGGGAGGGTTCGTGGGTTCCTGCCCGGGGCTGGGGAGGCTGAGGGGACCTGCCGTGCGCCTCCAGCCGCCACACTCGGCCACAGCCTGGCCCTCCCTCCACTACTCCTTGCCCTCGCCTTTCGTTGGAGAAAGATTTCTACAAACCATTTATTCTCCATGAAAATCTCAACCCATGCAGACTGGCGTTCAAGAGGCACAGACATGAGACAAGAGATTAAAGGAAAATACTAATTCTTGGCCATATTTCTAAACCATCCAGCACTTTTTAAAGTTTGTATTTGAAATTGATCGCATGACGCCACAGGGACTCACCCTTGTTTGGGTGGGCTCGTGGGCGAGAGGAAAGCAATAGCCTGGCCTTTATCCTGGAGGCTGAGGAAGAGCCCAGAGCGGCAGGAGAAGGCGGCGTAGATGCTGCTCCTCCCGACCCCGTGTCCGGGTCCTCCAGGAGAGCAGTGCCGGGAAGTGGGGGCCCCGCGGCCTTTGGGGCGTCGAACAGAGCTCCCTGTGAAGGTCTGTGAAGAGGGCGGGGCGCTGCGCCCCGGGCTCCGCCCAACCACGAAAGAGGGGCTCTGCCCTTAGGTGCCACAGCGAAAAACGAGTGTGTGGGGTCGGGGTACGCTCCCGCTCCTTCCGGGAGGGGCGGTCCGGCAGGCAGGGTCAAGGGTCCAGTCCGCCGCTGCCGACCGCTCCCGGGGCCCGGTTACCTGCGAGTCGCGGCGAGGAAGGCGCGCCCAGTGCCGGGGCTGCCGCTGCCGCGCGCCGGGTCTACGCTGCGCGCCCGCTGAGGCCGCCGCGCGCTTCGCCAGGAAAACCGCGGCGCGGACAGCTGGGGCCGCCAGGCGGGCCGGGGAGAGGGGCGCCGCGGGCACGGACACTGCGCCTGCGCCCTCCGCTGCCCCCTCCCCCGCCGGCCGTGCCCGCCTGGGAGACCGCGGGGGCGCCCAAGGTTGGCGCCGGGACTGAGGGCCTTCTCCTCCCCGCGCGGTGGGTGGGTCTAAGGCGCCAGGAAACTACCCGCCCAGGCGCCTTTAGCCTGCGCCTTTGGAGATAGCCGGTTGGAAGCAATCGCCTGTCAGCCGGGGTGACGTGGTCTTCTAGAAGGGGGCAGGGTGGCAGCCTCATCCATTCCCACCGTCTGTTTGCATTTAAAACTCGCAAGTCGATTCCTTGGTATTTAAAAATATGTCTAGCATCGGTAAATCGTGGTCCGGAAATGTCTTTGGGCTTCCCCGAGCCCACCCGGCATTTTACCGATGAGGTCTCTGAGGGAAGGGCGTTGACACTGCAGAGCTGGCTGCTGGACTCAGGTCTACAGTGTACCCCAATCCCGGCCTGAATAGATGTAGTCTCTTGGAGACAGACCTGGTCATCAAAGCAATGGACTAGAGGGGTCAAGAGGACAGACAGGAAGGCCATTACCCGAGGCCGGGCAAGAAAGGGTGAGGCTTGAACCAAGGTGCTAGCTGTGGGAAAAGAGAGGAAGTGACTGCTGGTGTTTCCTCCATCCCTCCAGATCCCCTCTCCACCCTGCTCTGTGCCTCAGGACTGACTTTTATGGACTACATCAACTGTCCTCTTGCTTTCACTCGGTTTCGGCCAATGGGAGGCACCTGCAGGAGATCACAGGACAGGATATTATTCAGGACCTCCTCCTACACCCCTAGAGGGCCACTGTTAGCACTGGCTATGTTCTTTATCTGAAAGCCATTCCTCCATTCCTGTGGTCCTCTCCTACAGTCCTCTCTTGATTCTGGTTACCACTGGCTGCCCTTGCCCCTTCACGACTGGGGCTGGTAATGGCTCCCGGGGGGGTTTCCTTTAACCCTGCCTATACCTTTTAAACAGTCCCTTCCTTAAATTCTCCTCTACTATCCCCTGGCTGTGCTGTGCCATCTTTTTCCTACCATTCCAGGACATTCCAATAGATTGTAGTGGGGAAGATTCGTGAGGAAATAAGTACTGCATAAAAGAAAGAGGGGGCTTTTAAAAGGTGAGGTGTCTTCCAGAGTCAATTGACATATTGTCTTCCAGAGTCATGATGGCTCTGGGGAGCCATCATGCTACATGGGTCCCTGCTAGGTCCCCCAGCCCGAGGGCACCAAAGATAGTTTGAGTAGACCCAAGAATGGGATTCAGACCACTCATAACCAATGTGTTCTCAATGGGGCTGGAGAACATCTAAGTGTCCAGCATAATAGAAGTTTTGGATGCCTCTGGATGTGAAGAGACAATCTAGATCTTTATGGAGCAAGTGCTGGTGCTCTCCCAACCACAGCTGGGCTGCTTTTGAATGAGTCAATATGCTTACGACACTTAAAAGAGTCCTGGGCACAGTGTCTGAAAAATGTATTTATAAAGGAGCTTCTGAGTGAGGCAGTTGTCAATTAGAGTCTGTTTCTGTAGAAAACCCAAAAAACATTCCCAAAGAGGGGGGAAATAAAAGGCAATAGAGTGAGTAATGGTCATTAAATTACCCCAAGCACTCCATATCAGCTTGGTCTGGATCCAGGACCTGACCATTTCTCTGGCTTGTAAAAACAGTGAAACTGGTTTAACTAGTTTAATTCTTTCCCTACTCCCCTTCAAAAAACACACAGACAAACAAAACAACCCTGAGGCACTATCTTGGCAAACCTTACCCAAAGGGAACCCCAGGAGTTTGCAAACAGAATTAATGTCCAAGCAAACACACTATTTGTACTGAATACAAATGAGACCAGAGCTGAAAATTTAACACGTATTTTCAGCCTTTCACCCTTTCAAAGAGGAAAGATCTTTTGTTGTTCAGAAAGCAGCCTGGGCATTAATTGCACTGACCTAGGTAAGGAGTAAAGGTACAGAAGCAAAAGGAGCCTCGGAAGGCTTGACTCATCTACAAAGCTCAGCTAGATTTTACTTTTCTCTTGGAGGAAGTGGGGGAGAAGAGAGGCAGAAAAGTTTTGAGGCTAGGAGTGAGGAAAACAAAGATGTGGAATGAGCCGAGTTCAGGAGAAAAGGTTTCTGGGAGATTTGAGAGTGAGACTAGGGATTTAGCACAGCTGCCATTCTGAATGACACTGAGAGATACTGAGAAACAAGAAAAAGGATTTTTAGGTGGTGTAATAGATGTGTAATAGATGGAATTCTTCTTTTGTGCTGTAATACTTTTTCTTGCAAGTGTCAAAAAGTCAAACTGATTTAAGAAAAGGAATACATGTGTCTTAATAACTGAAAAATCCATGGATAGATAGCTTCAGATATGGCTGGATCCAGGGTGCAAATAATGTTATCAGGATATGGTCTCTCCTCTCTTTGACTTCAAAGAGTTTATTCTCACGTAGTGATTTCTTCCCACCTCCTCCCCTTCCCCAGTGTTGAACGCATAGCTAACCATTCCAGTAGAAAGAGAGCACTTATTTGCAAGTAGATCTAATAAAATCTTGGGGTTATGTCTCATTAGCAAATTATGGATCATATACCCAACCATATGCCTTAGTCTGGGGACAAAGAATGATGGAGGGGTCATTCTCCAAACGAAAATCAAGATTTTGTTATCAGAAGAAACCTTACAGTGATGGGCAGGTGAAAAGAGGACATGTCCACTACAGGTATCTTTCACAGAAACTTCAATTAAGATTTATACTGCTTTTCAATTTTTTTATACTAGACTAGTGTTTCTTTTCAAAATGACATCATGTTGACATGAGCAGCAAAACAGCTGAAATATTCTTTCAACCTCAAAAATAAACTGAGATGTCTTACTTTTCCTATAGAAAGAGGTACTAGAAAAGATTTTTAAAGTATATTTTGTTCTGACTTTCCATATACACATAGCCTTTATTTAAGTATAGGTCCCTTTTCTGAGCCTAGCAAACAATTCAGATCCCTCGAAACCTGAAGACGTTACTAGAGTTCCTGATTACCATTGTGGAAATACTTGTTTCCCCCATCAGCACAACTACAACTTTGCTCTTGCAATCAGACACAAACCTCAGCACTTGTAGCACTCTGAACTAAGCCACCGAGAATTGATTTTTATACCCACACATTAACATCCCATTTCAGGAGCATTCACACTTTTATCGGCCTCAAGTACCTGGCACACAACCACAAATCTTGAAATAAGTGAGGCAAATTGCTGTCACTTCAAGCACTTGCCTTAGTCTTCAAATTGTGTATAAAACAAAGGGCACCAACAATAAGCACAGCTATCTGTTTTCCCCCAGTCAATTCTTTCTTCCTCACCATTTACTACTCTGTTACCTCATTTGCTGCTTCACCACTTTCTAGCTCTGTGCTGTAGATTCCTTATCAGAAAAGAGGAATGATAACCTACTACAGGGCTGTTATGTGGATTTAAATAATTAATACACGTCAAAGGTTTAGGACAGTGTCAGGCACTCGGTAAGTGCTAAATTAATGTTTGCTATTAGGATTACAGGGGCCAAAAAGTAAATCCCTCTAGATACGTAAAATGAGTGAAAAAGTCTAGATGGAGATCGTTTCTGAAGAGCATACTATATAAAGAGAGTAGCTGCTAATTCAGCTTCAGAGACCATAAGGAAATGTGAATCCAGTGTTGAAAGATCTTCCATTTTTTAAATAGGGAAGATAAATTTTTTTTATTTTTTTATGAAAATTTCTGATCATTAAAAATGCAAATGCATTCACGATAAAAACACTCAGCAAACTAGGAGTTGAAGGAAACTACCTCAACATAATAAAGGCCATATATGAAAAACCCACAGTTAGTTAGCATTATACTCAGTGGTGAAAGACTAAAACTTTGTCCTCAGGAATAAGACAAGGATGCCCACTCTCACGACTTTTATTCAACATAGTACTACAAGTTCTAACCAGAGCAATTAGGCAAGACAAAGAAATAAACAGCGTCCAAATTGGAAAGAAATAAAAACCCTAAATACTCCACCAAAAAAGCTGTTACAACTAACAAATGAGTTCAGCAAAATTGAAGGATACAAAACCAATGCTTAAAAATCAGTTGCATTTCTATGCACTGACAATGAACAACCTAAAAAGGAAATTAAGAAAACAATTCCATTTACAATAGCATCAATAAGAATAAAATACTTTGGTACTGGTTATCTACCCAATGAACCTGACATCAACAATCCAAAGAGGCTTATGCACCCCTGTGTTCATCACAGCATTATTCACTATAGCCAAGACATGGAAGCAACCCAAGTGTCCCTCGACTGATGATTGGATAAAGAAGATGGGGTATATATATACCTTGGACTACTACTCAGCCATAAAAAAAGACAAAATCGTCCCATTTGCAACTATGTGGATGGATCTGGAGGGTATTGTGTTAAGCGAAATAAGCCAGAAAGAGATAGACACACACTGCATGATTTCACACATATGTGGAAGATAAACCAACACACGGACAGATAGAACTGTTTGGTGGTTACAAGGGGCAAGTGGAGTGGGGGGTGGGCACAAGGGGTGGAGGGATGCATTTATATGGTGACTGACAAACAATAATGTACAACAAAAATTTCACAATAAAAAATTAATTAATTTTAAAAAAAAGAAACAAGCTAAAAAAAAAAAAAGAAACATGAACTCTCTTCTTACTAC